TGAGTGATTAACATAAATAGAGGAGAGGAGGTGGTGCGGCATGGACTCCGCACCGTTTTGGTTCCCTTAGCTTACCAGTCTAGGCGGGGAGCACCAAGCAAGGGCTAAGGGAAGCAGAGAACGCGAAACGGTTTTCGCTCTTACTTGGCTCAAATGATTCCAACAGACATTCCATTTACTGCTGGCGAAGTCTTCGGTGTTACCTTCAGACTTTCCGGCAATTTTTTAGGAAAAAACTGCTAGTTAGTGTCTCTAACTTAGATTGGGGTTCTCTGTTCAAGGTGAATAAACTGGTAGTTTTTTTCCAACCTGGTGGTGATTGTTTCTAACTGTTTGCTGAGGTGCTTTAAAAGTTGAGTATCCTGTTTGATTTCTACTTCTTTGAAAACAATATAATAACCTTTCATTACGGTTTGAAGTTCAAGCGGATCCTCTTTAATCTCGAGTCAACCAAAACTAGTTCGGCAGAGTCGGCAAAAAAATCTTTCTAAATTATCCGGATATCCCGCTTCACTTCAGCCTAAAGTAGTTAAAGTCTTTTGCTTACAGAGTGGACAAGGAGTTTGGAATGCTTTTGGAACTTTACCAAAACCTTGATTTTTTTTTAAATGCTTTTGCACTAAGAAGTCAAAAATTTCCAGTGGGTCTTGTTTGGCTAACTCATCAATTACTTCTTCACTAGCAATATATCAGAAGTGGTTTTTTTTCTGACTGCTGCCTTCTTTAAAGTTTTTTTCTAATAGAGAGCCTTTGGTTAAGTATCTAAAAACTAATTCTTTTTGTTTATAACCTTCGGATACTTCTCGAGTGTAAACTTCAATCTCAGTTAGGTCTTTTTTTAAATGGTTAATTATTTGGAGGTTGTTATTCATAACGGTAATTCATTTGTCAGTTATTTAAGTATTGGTTGCGAGCCCGGTTTTCACAACCACAAAGTCCATTTAAGGACTTAATAGTTTCATGTTTAGGATTGTGGATGATGGGATAAGCGTTAAAGTCTTTAGATTCTTCGAGGTCAAATTCAGAGGCGTAAGTGTCTAAATTAGCGATAAAGGTTCTAATGATAGAGGCTTGGGCGGGTAAAAAAGTGAACCGCAAAACCGGTTTAGTTTGAAAATGGGTATAAGGAAGTTGGTCGCAAGTGCCCTGTTCTTTACTGACTCTTTCTTGTTCGAGCGGGAGATGGCAGAATTCGGCTTTAGCACAGAGTAAGAGTAAACGAGTAATTAAGAATTCTTGAAAATCATGCTGAACCGCCGGTTTTTTAGGCTTTTTAAATTGGTAAAGTTCTTTTTTAGCATGTTTAGTGGCTAAAGTTAGTAAATTTAGTGGGTTTAAGGAGCGAGTGCCGAGGCGATAATTTTTTTTAATGAGCAGGGGATTAGCAACTTGACCGACTAATTGCTCATTAGTGCGGTAAAAATAGGTAGTTTGCTGAGTTTGATAATTGAATTGGCGGAAAATTTTTTGATTTTTGGCTAAGGGTTGACCAGTTGCCGCGTCTAGTTTGTGCTTAGCAATTAGTAAAGCGGGTTTTGACTCGTATTCGTATAAATTGAGATAAAAACGATAAGTTCTTTTTTTGTCTTTGAGACCATGCTTCGCGTAGAGGGAGCGGAGGTGGAAGGACTTGCTGAGATACTTAGCCAAGTAAGAACTAATCGTTTTATGTCCGGGACTGCGACTTTCGACTCGACCATAAGGTCATAATTGGGAAATATAGGCTCGACAATTTCAGCAGGAGGTGAAATTTTTATCTAAGGTGCATTTATGAGAGTAAGGAACGATCGGAGTAGAGAGTAAATGGAAGTGTCAGACTCCATTTTTTTGTAATTCGGAGACTACCGTTCATTTTCATTGGCTGGGTTTTCATAAACGACGGATGCGACGTAAAAAAAGAGCAAGGTAGTAGTTAGCAGAGTCATATTGACTAACGGTGGAAGGGACTTTTTCGATTTTGACCTTTAAGGGTTCGGCTTGCGGGTCAAAATTAGTGGCTCAGTCTTTTAATCAGGAGTTTTTTTTACTAATTGGTGCTCAAACGGGGTCATTAACATCTCAATTAGTAGTAAAAGCGGAGTAATTATCGTGTTTAGTGTTAAAAGTGAGGGTTAAAAATAAAAGGGGTTGTTGAGCTTGGGTTCCCTCAAAGTTAGCTTCCACTTTGTCTTTGAAGCGGGTGTAGAGTTTCTTTTCTTTAGAGTTAAAAAAGGAGAAGTAGACACAGTTTTGAGCATCTTGGAGACAGTCATCAGGTTTAGTTTTAGGAGTTGCTAACTCAACTGGTTTAGTTTTTTTAGCCTGATCTAAATAAAAGGATTGAGCCGAGTTTTTAGATAAGGTAATGCTAATTCGGTCAGTCGATTCAATATGTTTACAAGAGACTGATAAAACTGTAAAGGAAGTGTGATCTTGAGTTAAAAAGGCTTTGAGGTCAGACTTATTAACCCGTTTTATTTCGGCTAGGTCATTCAATAATTTTTGTGGAGAATTAAAACCGGTAGAGTTATGACCATTAAACGAGATAGTTAAAATTATTTATTAAATAGAAGTGGCAATCGCATATAGTGTTAAGAAAAAAAATAGTTCTAAACCAAGTTTATCTAAAAGGCAATTTCTACTCTCTCTTATCCTTTTTTTACATTTATTAGGAATTGTTGTGGCTTTTGTTCGGACGGATATTCCTTTCCATTTTCATCTCCTTCGTTTTTTTTCTTGGTGGTCGGTTCATACTTCAATTTTCACGGTCTTAGCGGCGGTTATGATATTTAGGGAAAGAAGAGGCAATTCTCTCCCACAGAGAAAAAGAAAAGACTCTTCCTATTTTACTCAATTCATTACTTTGCTAGCCACCATGTATAATTTGATAACCTTTTTCTTTTGAGTTTACTGCTTGTTTTTTTTGAGTGTCGAATGAGAAAAGTCTTTATTATTAAACTGTCATTCAGTAGCCTGGCACGTTATCGCTCCCCTCTCAACCATTTTCTATTTTTATTTTTATGCCCAAGTAGATAAATTAAGAAAAAGATTAGTAAAGACTTTATTAGTTGCTCCTATTAGTCCAGTTTTTTACTTTTTTTATGTCTGGACTTTGGCTAAAATCCACAGCCCAACTAGCAGTCTATTTCCTCACTTAGAAAAATATCCTTATTTTATTTTTGAATGAATAACTGAAAGGAGATGGGATTTGTTTATTATTAATTTTTTAATTGCTTTTTTTATTTTTATTTTTCTTTGTCTTTTGATAATTTGAACTAAACTGTTTTTTTCCAAAAAGTTGAAAAAATAGAGAAAGGAAGTCATAAAATTTGTTAAAAAAACTAATAATTTAGGTAGTTAGTTCAAATATTAGGGGAGTGGTTAAACTCCTCTTTTTTTCAATCGAAAAACTTTTTTCTTATTTCTAACAACCAAAAATGCCACTAACCCTATTACCACTAATATTCCACCACCAATAACTCAGCCAGTTGGAAAACCTGACTTGGGCTGCTGACTTTGACTAACTTTCTCTAACTGAACCAATAGGTTTTGGGCTTGTTTTTTATATTCTTGTTCGTATTTATTAGAACTGTGAATAAACTTTAACAATTTCTCTTTCATTTTTTTAACTTTTGCTTTGCTAATTTTGGCTACTTTACTTACCTCTGCTTTTATTTTTTCAAATCTTTTCTTAGCTCCCTTTTTGCTAATATTCTCATTAACTTTGTTTGCGATATCTTTATTATCTTTAATATTTTGATAATCCGCTTGAATTTCATTGTCTAATTCTTCAATTGTTAACTTGTTCTTTTTTAAGTTTTCTTCAATTTTAGCCAAAATGGCTTCAAGGTATTTAGAAGGGTTATTTATGGCTAATTCTTCTTCAATCGTAGCAAGTTCAGATTTTTCCTCTTCAAAACCTTTTTCTCCCAAAACTTTTCCTGAATTTTTGATAGCATTAAATTTATCTTCATCCGTGCCATTTTTGGCTTGTTTAATATCATTTTTTAAACTGTTTTTTATTTCTCCTTTCTCTTGTTGAATATCCTGCTGAACTTTATCTTCAAGTGGTTGGTCGGATGAGGGAGTTGGTTTAGGTTTGTTATTATTATCGTTAGAAGTTTCATCAGAGTTAATATTATCCTTGCCAGAATTAGGTTTTTCTTTTTCTCCCTCCGGTTTAGTTTCAGTTTGAGGAATTGTGTTGTTGGAGTTTGGCGGATTAGCAATGTTTTGTTTATTTAATTTTTCTGTTAAACCTATTAACAATTTTTCATTGACAGTTTTATTTTCTGCTCAAACTTGGGCTTCTAAACTACCACTGGCTGCCGTAGATAAGGTTCTTAAACTACTAATGGCTTGTTCCACTTCTTCTTTTGTTGCTTTGCTTTTGTCAAAAATAGTTTGAACCGAGGCAATAATACCTCGAATTTGGTCTAATTCATTATCTCTTTTTGAAGTAGTTTCGGTGGCTAAATCAGCAAAATAATCTTTTCCTTCTTCCAGCATTTTCCGAAATAGAGGAACATTCTTTTTTATTTCTTGGGCTTCTTTATCATTTATCTCTCAATTCATTACTGAGGAATTATTTTGGTATCTTCTCACCAGAAATTCCGTAATAGCGATTACATACACTCCACAATCATCTCCGTTATAAGTTCCATCGGGGTTAAGTTGTTGGGGGGCTTGGTGTTCGACAAAATTACTTTTATCAACTCCTAGTTTATCACTTTTTAGAAAAGGGCGAAAATATTGTAAACTGTTAATGTCTCTGTAAGAGTTATAGTGATAAAATGTTTGGTTATTTTTATCATAAACAAATAAAGTTCAATGAACTTGTCCCTTGCAGGCAGGAATAAAAACAAATCTATTATTCTTTATTCTCTTAATTAATCCATTGGCTGACCTACCAATTGAAGTTCCATTATTAAACCACTCTACTAAATTTCCTAGGATGAATGCATTTTCAAAAAGTGAAATCTTTTCCTCAGTTAAGTTATATTTCGTGGCGATTGACTGAAAATAATTTCTTATATCTTCATCATTTAATCATTGACTTTCAGGATTGTTCTTTTGGAAATTTAATTTTTTCATAGGTGCTGATTTTTTTAATTATTGGTTAAGGTATCCAAATATTTTTCTTGTTCATTAGTTTTATTTCTTGTTGGTTAAATGCTGGAACGGGAGTGACTTCTTGCTTGGTTTTCATTTTTAAAAAGAGAAATGATTGTATCACCATAATGTAGTTATTTTAAATGTTTTCCTCTTTTTTATTCCTTTTTAGTTGCTGTTAAGGATGAAATATAAGAAATATGAGGGTAAAGGGTAAAATAAGAGGCTTGGTTTTCACCGCTCTTTAAAAAAGAGACTATAATACTTTTTTAATATTTAAAACCACCTCCAACCCCTTATTCACTTGTTCCAATATCCCCTTGCTTGCTACTCCAACATAATCTCGTAAACGGAGTTTGACATCAATCGCCCGTAAACGATTAAGTAAAATCTTACTGTCTTTTTTCAAACCATTAGTAGCATTAGCCTTTATCAAAACTTCAAAGTGCTGAATTTCAGCCAAATTTTCCCAGTCCTCATCAGATATAGGTGCTACGATAATATGGTGGTCGTATTCATTTTGAATATCATTGCTGATTACTAAGACAGGACGAATTTTGCCGACTTCTTTACCTTTTTTAGGATTGAAGTAAACTAAATAAATCTCTCCATAATGAGGAAAAGAGTGAGGTGATTGCTTGGTTTTTGGCTTATTCATGTTATTTTAATCCATCTTTGGTGGTTTTATCTCAAATTTCATCTTCGGCTTGTCTTTTTCGGCTTTTAGCGACTTTTTGATAACCCTTAATGAGTTCTTGCTTAAAACTCTTTC